TTTAAAAAAGGCCAGAGTGGCTGCTAGCGTTTAGTTGGAAGCGGGAATCAGGGGTTTATCTCCCCTGATTGGGTCGATTTGGTGATGGGGAGTATGATGTTGAAAGACCCGAAACTCTCCGATGAACCAAGTAAAAAAAAAAAACATCACTGACGACCCCCTTGGGCGCCTACTTGAAAGCGTATTTACGAATCATGGTTGTAAATAGCTCTACTGGAAGTTGATAAACTTAGAAATTTAATCCATAGAGTATTTAAATCTTTTAATCTTAGCGTAATAATTAATTCCACTATCAAACCAGTTGATTTTTTAGACGTCATTTTAAATTTAGTTCTCAATAATTTTCAGCCTTATGTGAAAAACAATGCCAACCCGATTTATATCCACCTTAACTCCAAATCATCCGCCGTCTGTAATCCAACATATTCCATCATCTGTTGTACGGCACGTTAACCAACACTCCTCTAGCAAGGAGACACTCGAGAAACAAAACGGTTTATGCTAAAGTTCTTACAGATAGTGGGTTCAGATCTTCTGAAATTAAGTTTGTAGAAGATTATGATTGTTCCAGAAAGAGAAACAGGAAGATCTTATGGTATACACCTCCATCCAATCAATTAGTTCGTACTAATTTCGGACATAAGTTGCTTTATTGATAAACATTTTCCTAAAAGTAACTCATTAAGTAAAATTTTCAATCGGAATACTCTAAAACTTAGCTATAGTTGTACTAATCATCTAGAGAAAATAATTAAATCAGATAACAATAAAAACAATGAAATTATATAACAATAATAACTGTAATGCTATTACTGATTCTAATTTGTCTCGTATAACTAACCTCTGTAATTGTAGAAATCCTGATCAATGTCCTTTAACAAATGCTTAATAAAATTCCTTGTATATATGTAGGTACCTCCACGAAATCGCTAAAAAAAGAGCATAGCTTGATGAAAAAGACGCCAACCTTGCCGAAAACAAAATTTTATCGTCTAAATGCTTATGTTATTATTAAGAGGAAAGACTAAATTTTTTTTTTTTAATTATTTAAAAAAAATTGCCTTCTTTTTAGAACATACTAAATTTTGATTAAAAAAAACAAACCTTGTTTCTCTTTGTATCAGCGGAACTAGTAAATAACTGACAATTTTTAGCACGTTTTTTTTTTTTAGTATGACACATTAATTTGGAAAATCTTGCAAAAATAGAAATAATTGTCGGATGTTAATGAAACTTTCAGAAACTATCACAGATGACCGAAATTATTATAAATATGTTTTTTTTTATTAAAGTCATGGCAGAAATATTCTTTTTATATTTATTACCACCCACCATAACTAATTTTGTGAAAACGCTAGAGATTCGATAGAGTCTAGTTTAATGATTACAATAGTTAAAAGCACAATGCTTTGAGGAATTCAAATCATTTTTTTTTGTTTTTAATTGGACCCCCTACCTGAAAATCAGCTCTGAATTGTAACAGACAAAACACAATAAGATATTATTTAATTTCAAATGCTTTTATTTGCTTCTAGTTGTTTTTGTGAATATGGACAATATTTTCTGAAAGTAAAAAAGTCTTTCGATGAAAAATTAATTTTCATACAATTATTTGTTATTTCTTAATTATAATAGATTTTTACATTTAATTTTTTAAAATATTATGAAATTAGTTTAACATCCGTAAATGTCCTTATGATCTTTTTTACCACATTGTAAATTGTATCGTTTTGACTAATCAGAAGACCCGCAGTAATTAAGAAATGTAATTTTGTGTTTATAATTGGGCTGTAATTATAACGTACGGAAGACCAACCAGGATACAATTAAGTTGCGTTATTCGAGTTAAGCATTGTTCTCCGCTGTTAAGGCCTTTACTTTTGCAAAACACGTCTGGAGAAGTTAATTTGATTTTTCAGTTTCAACCGAAAAAGGTACCTACAAGAATTAGTACCATCTTATGAAATTTATATGATCTTATTTTATATTATTCTCAGTTATGACATTTTTCCATAAATGAAATATCAAAATTAATAAAATGAATGGAAATACAAATAACACAGTAAAATGTAATAAATGTATATAAAATTATAGTATTTTACGTACACTTCTGATAAAATTTCATAAGGAATGTACCTATATATTAATTAGATACCTTTCTTATGAAATATGTAATTTAATCTCACTCTTAACAGTCTTATTTTAATTTCTTTATAATATATTTTCCATAAAGCATCGTAAACGTAAAGGTGAAAGCTAAGTACAAAAAAAAAAAAAAATAAAATAAAAAATTAGAGCGCTGAAAGTTTTCCTTAAAAATAACAAGGTAAATAATTTGTTCACTGAAATGTAAATTATTTCACTTTTCTCCTTCCGTAGAACAAATTATCCCCACGGAAACGGTCGATATGTCATTTATCACCTGTCAAGTGACGCGAAAGTTTATGACCTACTTTGTTTTATTTTCAAATTACATCTTTTCGGCGCAAAAGCTAAGTTAAACTTGGTTCAAAATATTTTAAATAAACATTATAATTTCTGATTTTCTTGAAATAAGTTTTGAAAAAATAATTGATATTTAAAAGAATTTCAAAGTGAGATTTCCAGTTTTTTATAAAATAGAAAAAAATGGTCAATTTTGCTGACTCAAAAAAAAAAAAAAACAATGTTTTTAACGAAAATTTCGGACCTGCTTGGAACGATTTAAAAATGTTAAAAAAAACCCTAAATACTTTGATCTTTCCTAAACATTTAAACGATAAAATTGTGTTTCCATCAAGTTTGGCGTCTTTTTCATCATGCTATTATCTTTTTTTAGCGATCTCGTGGAAGTATCTATGTATATGTGTTGTTTCATCAATTGAAATTCTCAGGATTGTTAAAATATATATTGGTAGCTCATTGAATACCTTTAAAAACGTTTATATAATCATCTCTCATCCTTTATTAATGCTGACAAACGAAATATGACTTCACTTTCTAAATATTTTTGGAAATTGAATGAGGAAAGCAAAACACCTAAAGTTAAATGGAAAATATTCAAACAAGCCAGAATCTGCAGATCCGTGTCGGAAATGTGTTACCTTTGTCTATAGGAGAAAATGCAGATAATTAAATTCTTGAATAGCGATCAATTATTAAATCAGAGATATGAAACTACGATGACTTGCAGGCATATTAAGGAATTAACCTTACAATCGTGCTAAACTTTGTAACTCGATAACCAGCCGCCTTATGTTATGTTACCTTATATTACATTTTAATGTTAACCTTAGTGGTTTATTTTAGATTAAGGTATTAGTAAGTTTTGCTTGTATATGGTTTTTCTTCTTAAAGTGTCTAATTTACGTACTATGTTTAATTTTGTTTGAATATTTTGAAAATGCTACAATGTATCTGAAATATGTTTCCATCTTGTCGCATTATATTTCCGTTTAATTTTGAATTCTCCATCTTAACGTGTCTTCATTGGCTAAAACTGGTATCAGCAACTTCTCATATCTTATTTTCTTATCTTTCCTTTTCCTTTGTATCTGTAACATTTAGATATAATTCTCTCCTTTTTCCTCCCCCCATTCTCTTGGTAGTAGGGTTGATTTCTTATGCTTTCTTTTCTTTCCTTTTTGTTAATCTTTTATTCTCTTCCTTTATTTTAATCTGATTTTTTTTTCTTTCCTTTTATGGAAATAATATTTTTTTTATATATTTGTTTTTCTGCCTTCGATGGAAAATTTTCAAAAATGTAAAAAAAAAAAGTGAGGTTTCATAAATTGTATTTTTAAATAAAATCGTTTATATACCGCCATCGTTAACCACCTGAAGAGACGTCTTTATAACTTGAAACAAATATGCATTTTTGTCGTGGTAGCTTGCATCTTCCAATGTAAGAGTTTATAATAAATATCTATTGCTCTACTCTTGTATTGAGCCCTTTTTTTAAATTAATGTTATGAACGTTTGAATTTATTTTCTTTTCGTTCTTTTAAATTTGGATATATATATATATATGAGTTATTTTCAGATAGCGGGTATCTCTAAAGGAAGAAAATGACTAAAAGGACAAGAGGAAAAACTATTCTCAGCATTTCGTTTTCTGACGTATTTCCTTCAGAGGACGAAACGCGTCGCTAAGAATAATTTTTCCTTTCGTATATATATATATATATATATATATATATATATATATATATACACCCCCCCAATAATTCAAAGTATGCTTGCATTTGTACTGGCAGTAAAGCTGTTATGAAATTTTTAATAATTTCAGGACTTTTCTGGGATATAGACAGTCATCGTCCTCCACAGTTTCCTTTTTTATTATCTGTGCATTACTTTGATATTGGGAAAGATAGGACGGTTTCCCAGTGTTTTCCCAACTGTCTTGCATTCAGAATAGTCCTTTTCCTAGACAGGCTGCCAGACAAGGCGAGAGAGTCCACTCGATACTGCCAGGGCTGAGTGTGACACAAATGGATTTATGCCTTTCCAAGAAACATTAGTAAAATATAAACAGTTGTGTTTCAACTGGAATTTGAACTCGGCTCTCCGATTCCATTTTCCGTGTAGATTCCTGTTATTTTACCCGGGCATACGAACACAGAACTACGTACCCAGTCATTTTTTAACTTATTGAAAAATGCCTAATTATTTAATATGGCGGAGAAAAATTCTTTCGTTGAAACTCGATGAAGTTACGCACTTGGACTTCCGCTGGCAATCTGAAGCATTTCTGGTGGAGCAAAAGGTGTTAATACCAACGGAAACGGCCATCTTCTAATTTCAATAAGCAATTAGCGCCGACATTTTTTTTCTCCGAGGAGGAAAAAAAAACCCCAAAAAACAAAATGGCGAGAACATTGAAAGTGGGGTGGGGAAAGTATCACTTCGCTTAATTAAATTGCAAACCATTTTTCATCGGAGTTGTTGACAGAATTTTCGAAGGCGGCCATTTTTCGTCATTTAACTGAACGTAGATTATCATCCGGGACAATTTCACGAGATTAGTGCGTGGTCGGAATGCCGTCAGTAATTTTGGGCGAAAAATAATGGATGAGATTCGCTGCAAAGTTAAAATGAAGACCAAAGCGAGACAACGAGAAAGCGAAGCCATAATTCATGCGAAACAACGACAAAGGCACATAATTATAGGAAATAAATATGGAGCAACAATAATGGAAAGAGAAATCTGGAAATATGGGAAGAACAAAAATAAGAGTTCGAACAGATAAGTGCTGATATAACGAGTGAGAGGAAGAGGAAGGGAAGGAGAGAGGGAGGGAGAGAGAGAAAGGAAGGAGAGAGAGAGAGGAAGGAAGGAGAGAGAGAAAGGAGAGAGAGAGGGAGAAAGGAAGGAGAGAGAGAGAGGGAGGGAGAGAGAGAGGGAAGAGAGGGAAGGGGAGGGGGAGGAAGGGGAGGGGAGGGAAGGGGGGGAGAGGGAAGGGAGGGGGGGAGAGGGAAGGGGAGTGGGGAGAGGGAAGGGGAGAGGGGGAGGGAGGAGGATGGATGGGAGGGAGGAGGATGGGAGGGAGGGAGGAAGGATGAGAAGGAGCAAGGATGGGAGGGAGGATGAGAAGGAGCAAGGATGGGAGGGAGGATGAGAGGGAGCAAGGATGGGAGGGAGGAGGGAGGGAGGAGAGGGAGGGAGGAGGAGAGAGGGAGCAAGGATGGGAGGGAGGAGAGGGAGGTGTGAAAGAGAGAGAGAGAGAGAGAGAGAGTAGGAGGATGTAATATCGAGGCTGATATATACTATAGCCTCCTTCATATATACAATCAATCAGCATATGAAGGCGATTTCCCTTCTTCGAAAATTCCATCTAACGGGGAAAAATTTTGGTAAGTAGGTCGATCAGCTGAAATGATTCGCGAAAACGAGATCCACCCTGTTATAACAAATCGAATTCTATCAACAATTCTTTCTGCCACAAATCCACAATCACACCTCTGAGGAAAAGAACAACCGGAAGAAGCAGACATATTTTTTTTTTTTTTGCTTTCACAGCAGTTCATCAATTTTTCAAAAAGTTTTTATCTATTTCTCTCCAGCTTACTCTGCATTTAACGCATTGTCCAAATCGACACCTTGTAAACTATATCATTCCCTACGTACTTACCTGTCTAATCACGCTTGTATCTAGATTCTGTACGAATATGAGACAGGAAGTTAAGTTAAGAATTATTAAAAAAAAAAAAAAAATAGAGAGAAAATACAGGTTGTTGGAAAGGCATCAGATTTCCAAAAGACGATATATTTGATAACGTCAGTTGACGGATGCAAGAAAGTAAAAAGGATGCGAGGACGTGGCAGTGACACTTTATTGGACTGTGAATTGACGAATCAGCAACTAGCGAGACAGGCGAAATTCATTCCTTGGTAAGGGAAAGAAAAAATGTTCCACCCTTTAAAACTCTTTTTGGATTGCTCTGGTGTAGCGAAATTTACCCACTCACTACCCTCTTCGCCACTGACAAGTAGTCAACAACGTTTCTCTCCTGGAGACAATAAACGTGGCTAATACAAACCCTAATACCTCATGCTATATATTATTGAAAGAAGACATTTCGTCTGGTGAAAAATCGAAGCAGCCTAAACTGCGTGACATTGGCCTGATAACTGTAGTTCGCCAAAAACACAGTTCGATTCACATGTGAATGTCGTTCCCTCCATATTTTTATGTAGCACATTGTCTCATTCTATAATTACGAAACCCCATCTATGTGTCTGCCTCATTTTATTTTTGTATCTACATCTATTAATATTGCTTTTAAAAGCGAACAATGGTCTCTAATTGGAATGATAGCACTGATGGCACCTACAAAGAATGTAGAAATAAATTTCAAACACTTCAAATAATTCGGTTTATGGACTAGTTTTAAATTTGGAAATTATAGGAGATAAGGAAATTGAATATAGAATAATCTCGGCATATTGCAAATTGTTACAAAACTAAAACATTAACCTAAAACCTTGAATCGACTTGTTAAATAGCATTGTCATATCTAGGTTCAAATGGATGCCGTGGATGACATTCAATACGTTACAAGTGTCTATACTATATTCCATGCACAACCGTCTTCTTAGATCAATAATAAAAAATGGCTTCAAGCGAATGATTCCTGTGGATATTAGAGAGGACAACCATTCATCAGATCTTATAGACTAACAGAATCACGGACAAAAAAAAAAAAAAAAAAAAACTAAAATGGATAGCACATGTAATTCGAAAAGAAAATAATTATATAATCAAGTATCTATCTATATTTCCGAGATGAGGTGTTATGTACCCTATTTACATGTTGCCATATTTATCACGTTTCGGCCGTTGTAAGCTCCGGCCTTCTTCAAGGACACATGGCCCAGTATAATCTTACGAACAGGTTGTATGAATGAAAATCAGATGCAAAATTTAAATCATCCAAACACCAACATTAATATCTGTCTATATTTCTGAGATGAGGTATTATGTAGACTATTTACATTATTCGGACTATTCTCCTCGTCTTTGTTGCCATATTTATTACAACGTTTCGGCCTCAAGGTCCCATGGCATAGTGGATAAAGTCGTTGGTTAGATCCAGTGACAGGAGCCGGAGAGTGTGAGTTCAATACCTGGTTAAGGCAGTGGAGAACTTGGAGAGGGGAATTAACAGGAGATAACTGGTAACTGACATCCATTAAACATGGCACGTGGAACTAGAACAGTCTACCCCAGCGACCGAAATAAAAGGGTTCAGTTCGACATTCCAACCACCTGAAGAAGGCCGGAGCGTACAACGGCCGAAACCATATGGCAACAAAGATGAGACAATAGTCCGAATAATGTAAACAGTGTATATAATCATGATGTTCGCGCCTCTATAGACAAAAGGATTCAAAAGGAAACGCCAGTCTCTAGAAAGATGGGTCTTAGTGGAAAGACTAATGAAAGAATTACATGAAAGATTCTTTTAAGAGAAATTGTTGGGTTTTTATTTGTTTTTATTTTAATAAACTTTGACCGAAGGCAACGCAGGTTGGTCAATTAAAATCGAATGTTTTCTTGTAAGGAAACAGTTAAGATTACGATTACGTCCGTAGCTACAGAGTGAAGGAACAAAGCTTGCAGTAAAATTTTAAATTAAAATTTTCCACCGAGCGAGGCGCCAACTAAAAGCCGCGAAGCGAATTGTGAACAAAGCGTACACGTGTCAGCTATTTACGTATATCGATCTTTTAGGAATTTCCCGGACAATATCTTCATAGAACGACATGCTAGAGCTGCTTCGTGAAGCGACCGTGAAAATCATTTCCGACATAGCTGATGTGTCTTTGAACGTTCTTCACAAAAAGAAAGCCACCAGAGAAAAAGAGAAATTACATTCAGGAGAAGCTGGGTAACGAGACTGGAAATGTGTAAGAAAGTTCTAAATTACCTTAAGAATCATGGCTCAAATGTTCACATATTCCCCGAAGAGAAAAATCTTCACGGTCGACGCTGTATTTAATCGCCGGGATGACCGAGACCTCGAAGTTACAACAGTTAAGGCAAAAAAACAAACAAAAAAAAATGGATGCCTTCAGGATCAGTGTAGATCATGGTTTTGCGTATAGTGACTTTCCACAAGAAAAAGATTCCCTCCATTCTTTAGTTTGGCGAAAGAGTGTCTGCTTGTGCCCACTACTAGGTTCTAAGATACCATGTATTCTCATCGCACAAAGCCCACGATCATGAGGGTAACAATATATGGACCAATGGCGCTGTTTCCAGCGAAGAAGTCGTAGAAGCTCTGAAAATAATTTTGCTAATTTTCCCCCTCAGACATTCTTGTTTGTCTTCTAACCCGGTTTGGAACGTCTTAGACGAATCCGAATCGGGTGTTTTGGTGCTAGCCACAAATGTCCTTCAAACTCAGCGACAATTATTACAGCGTACCCAGTAAAAAGTGGCAAACTTATCATTGTTTTATCTTTCAGGAATAATTGACCTTGAAATTTCTTGAATATTCATGACCTTGAATAATCATTCGCCTATTTACTTGACTGATTGGTTCTATTATGACTGATTAATTGCTGCTCGAGTTTGTGAGCCGTCATTTAAAAAGGTTATTTGCAGAAAACTTTCGTCTTTCGTTCTGAGCTTTGATGGCTAAATAACTCACTGATTTTGAGAGTCAAGTTATCGCAAGAACATCCGACGTGGGGTTGACAAAATATGCAGACATTTTTCCTGAACTTTTCAGTCACATCAGTTGACATCGGTTTTCAACGGTTGTCTCACGTTTTCCTGAATTTACTGCTTTTTTTTTTTTTTTTTTTTTTTTTTCCACTGGGCACCCTTTACATGAAGGCTAAAATGTTTGTTATGTATAAGAATCTTATGAATAAATCTTCGGATTAATGGACATACCCATATGTGCAATAGGTAAAAAAAAAAAAAATGGGGTCGTCCTCTGAATTTTCAAGAATCGACTAAAAATTTAAGGGTTCGAGCTTTTTTTCAAACTAATTTACTAACTAACTACAGACGAAAGGGATTGTTTTCCTGAAAGTTGGTACTACAACTAGAATAAGATTTTACGTCTTTTTCTCTCGTTTGCCTGTCTAATGGCAATTATAAAACAGCTGGATTTAAAATTTTAGCTAACCCGATCTCTCTTTCTAAAAAAAAAAAAAAAGGTCTATGTGTCTCGGTATTAATTCGCTTGTTTATTCATCTATCAACTTCCATCTTTCATTGTCTTATCTGCCCGTAGACGTATATGTCAATACCTATTCGTGTCTCAATCTCATTTCAGTCAGATCTTCATGTCAAGAACCATAGGCCTCTATGAACACCCATCTGTACGTCTCTCATTCGATCTGTAACAGGGTTGATATTAAATGACAGAAATTAGAATGCATAAAACGTCCAACGATAACAACAATAAATACTTAAGACACGTGTTTACATAACAAGAATTTGCATTTCCTTTTAGCAATGAGAAACAGAATATTGGTAAGGTGCGTAAAAATCTTTCAGTGTCCCTTTTGTTTAAAAGTCAATGTTCCGAGAATTTCGTTTGTGAGGATGGTGTTTGAAATTATCTGTTTTCTATCTTTACGGGGCGTACGCTAAACGTGGAAGGGTCGTTTTTATAATGATGAGGTGTAGGATGATGAAATATCTATTCTATCATCACTCATGATTAGGTTATTTTTTAGAATGATAAATTATCCTTATTTTTTTATAATCACAGATTGCATAGTTATTTTTAGAATGATTATAACATCCTTACATCTCGCCATTCAAGTTCATTCCTGTATTCAGACAATTGATATGAACATGTTATACAGTTTGTAGTTTAAAGTTTTAGGTACCCTACTCTCACTATGGATTTTCATGCTATTCCTTTTAGTCTTTCTCGTCGAAATTGTCATTTCGATTTGCTTATGCCTACTGATAAAAATCAAATTTATCTAAGCAGTTAATGAGAACAACCAACTTTTCTTTGTATTGTGAGACCGTAACATACCTACAACATGGACTCTTCCAGGACTATATGAAGTATGCGATATAACACTCTAGGAGAGAGAGAAAGAAAGAGAGAGAGAGAGAAAGAGAGAGAGAGAGAAGAAAGAGAGAGAGAGAGAGAGAAAGAGAGAGAGAGAGAGAGAAAGAGAGAGAGAGAGAGAGAAAGAGAGAGAGAGAGAGAGAAAGAGAGAGAGAGAGAGAAAGAAAGAGAGAGAGAGAAAGAAAGAGAGAGAGAAAGAAAGAGAGAGAGAAAGAAAGAGAGAGAGAGAAAGAAAGAGAGAGAGAAAAGAGAG